TATATTAGTATCTTAAAAAAGTTTGGTATCTTAAAAATTGCTTACTTCTTGATATAAGTACTGTCTGCGATGAATCTGTAATGAGGCAGAGTATGTAATGAGGCAGACAATTCCAAATAAAAGTTATATATAAATTCTGGTCTGTAACATTTAAAGTTGACCCCTTATTTTGCTGTAGTAATATATATTGGATTAAGATATCTAATTGAAGTTCGTATAGTTTATATAGGAAGCATGCTATACCATTTGATATAATATTACCTATTACAAATCTTTCTTATTAAAATCTCCTCAATTTTGAATAGCATTTATTATTAAACATAGTGCGTATGTATTCAGTAACGGTGTTAGGGGTGAGCACGGAGTGATGATGCAATAGGGTGACAGAAGTAAAAGGGCGCCAGATACAAAGCCCTATGCTCCACTTAAAAGAGAAGGACAGCAGTAAGTAAGATCAAAATCAAAAAAAAAAAATTTTACGTTGTCTTTTTTCTCCGTATAGCACTAAAACTATAAATAATAGCACTAAAACTATAAATAATAATTATGTTCAAAAATATTATGGCTTAATTTAATACTTTTTTTTAATGAATATAATTTATATTAAATTAAAAATTAATTTAAACAAATTCTGTCGAAAATCTATGTTAAATATTTTGTGTATTAGAAATCGTTTAAGATCGAAGAAAGCCAGACCGTTAAGAGATAATGGCCCTGTGTTTAAAATATATAGAGAATACAAAGCAATAACACTATAAAACAAAATATTTTCTGGTAGATGTTATCCTCTTGGCTACGTCACTGAAAAAAAATTAATACTGTTAAATATAATAGTGCTGAATATAATTTAAGGAATTTATACTTGAGATACTTGATATTTAAAAATATATATAAATCTTTTTTATACAATGTGTGACATTTGGTTTATAATTATATCTGTGATTTTACCCTACTCTATTACCATAATTAAGATTCTTAATTTAATAATAAAACAATCTCAATACAGTTTCAATCTTTAACAAAAACTAACTGACCTATTACTGATATTTTATTTATATATTTCTTGTTTACTTTATAAGCTTAAAATATTTAGTCTTATAAGGCCAGTGATGATGACAACAATATTGTATGAATCAGCAGCAAATGTCAGCACAAAATAAAATGAATTCATATAAAGAATTTATGAGTATATAATATATAGTATATACCTGTAATATTGACATTCTTTAGGTTAAAATTTGGTAAAACCGTAGTCTTATTAGGAATCAATTGCGATTGAAATTTAAGTAGGGTTCAGTTTGAGGCATTATTATGTATAATTTTACGATATTTGTATTAATATTTAAATAACACAACCATTGATAGATATTTAGTAGTTTCCAAAACAGATGTATGATTGATAAAATTCACGGAATTGAAAATAAAATTATTGCCAATATAATTTTTTGGATTATACATCATGGATTATACATTATTTTGTTGATAAATAAAGTTTTGTTAAATTACAATATCTTGAAAATTATATCCTTCAAAAGTTAAAGTTAGAACAGCAGTTCTAATATCTCCGTATTCTGAGAAAGCCTGCTTGATTAATTTTCTTTATGAACGTAAAATTTCAATGGAATTCGGGAACCGTACTTTAACGATATGGGCCATGGTTATACAAAATATTAAATGGTTATCAATCACCATAGCCACCTGTTAGACCCATATAATGCAGACGATTATAAGATCCTCGATCACAACACTTGTTGTTGCGTTCAATGTAAATTAATAAATTGAAAGCTAAAAACATATGTTGTAATCAAGGATCTTATGATCGTCTGCATTATATGAGTCTAACAAGTGGCATTGGGAGTGGACTAATTCACTACTGAAACTTAGAATCGACTACTATAAATTTTAGCTCACTTTTATTTACTTATTAATCTAAATTATATTTATTCAAACTTATGAAAATTTTTATGATTTTAATATTGTCAGAATTTTTGGTATAGATTTGCGTCTGTTAAGGTTGGTCTCCTGTAAGGGCTATGGAAAAAATAGTTATGTAATACTGTTCTTATAAGCAAAAATATTATATTATATCAATCAAACAAGAAACGCACTTTTCTTTATCTTTAATTTTAATAATACATGCCAAATTTAGTTTTGATAGTAAAATGTTTCAATGTTGACATAATCATATACACAATTTTATTATTTTAAAATATTTAATCTCCCGTTATCAGATATTTATTTATTCTTCTTTTTTTTCATTACGATAAATTAAAGTTATATTATATCACGATAGTAGTGAAATCTTAGTTGCGAAATGAAGTCTAATAGTCTCACTTAAGAATAAAAAAACAATAAGCTTTTTGAAGATAATATACTAATTATCATCAAAGAATTTTAATGTTATGTTAAAATTACATAATTTCCGATATAGTATTAATATTTCTCATTTTAATTACAATATTTTTCTACCTACAACCTTTCTACCTTTTATGTATATATATATATATATATAGTTATATGGTCTTTAAATTTAATGGGTCAACATCGTGAAGGCTAAAAATATTATAATATTATTAATATAAGATGTGAACATATTGTAAGCAAAATACTGCGATCTGAAGATCATATTACACATTACAGATACTGTTATACTGTAAAGTATTACAGATGTACTTTACAGTATAAAGTAAATCTGTAATATGGTGTCTGATGTCATTGCTCACAAGAATTCAAGAATATCGACTGCATTTTTCGTTGGTATTAAGTATAGCCCATGATGTTTTATCAATATATTACTATCCCCTAGCACATGCTTTAGTAATAAAGTTTCTTTCTTTCTTATTATTAAGCAACAAACACTTGAGATAGTGTAGAATTAGACAACATGAAAAATATTATAGATTTATTTTGGTCCTAATAAAATATATAAAGAGATAATAAGTGGACATTTACTACCAAAAGATAGTGTGTAAAAGAAGAATATAGAGTAAGTAAGTAACTCAGGTGAAGGTGATTCTTTAAATTTGTTATCAATTTTAAATGTAATTTTATTTACCAAGATATAACTTATCAAAGAGAAGTATATCTGAAAATAAACAATGTTTAAAAAATTATAAAATCCCTTTATTGCCTTGACTAGTTTTTTAAGTTTTTAACTAAAACACAGTGAATCTTTAAAGTACTGACATATCTAGGAGAAGACTTACATAATTATTATATTTTTAATCTGTTAAGATCCACCCCACTCCATCTGGTTACATGATTACAAGTTGTGTATAATTAAGATATTACTGTATTTGTTTTATTTATTAAATTTCAGAAGCCGACAACTTAGGAAGACTCAGGACATTAGTTTTTTAAATTTTCAACCAAAATACATTGAATATTTAAATATTACATATTTTCAATCTGCAACCACGAGTCCTCTAACTCGTTTAGTTACAATGCTACACGTTGCTCTTAAGTCAGATTCTACTAAACTTATTATATTTATTAAGTTTCAGAAGCCGACAGTTTAAGAAAGTACGGAAGACAAGTGTTTAATGTTTTTAACCGAAATATATAAATTCTTTGTAATATTTACATATCTAAAAGAATATTTTAATCTGCAAACACCTCTAACCAATCTGGGTACAGGCCTGTATGTTGTATATAAGTAAGATACTTTTGTACTTATTCTATCTATTAAATTTCAGAACCTGACAGTTCAAAATCCTACATCCACAACAACAATGTTCCAGTGAGAACTCCTGTCGCACTATTATTGTTTGTAGTATAAATGAACCAGGTAGGTAAGAATTAGTAATTACAATTACAAATTACAATTATAATTACAATAAGCAAAAATAATTTATCTGTTTAATTATACTGAGCTAATGTAAAATTGTATCTAGTCAATAGATGATTTTAACTTAAAGATCAAAAGAATATAGGCATCATAATGGCTCATTGCACAAAATCAGAAACCAAACTACACGTCTATATAGATTAGGGTTAAAGCTTGATTACTGGAGGTAAGTCTTTAAGAAATACTCCTTCAAATTAAAGCAATCAAGATTTCATAATGGTACCACCACTAAGTTGTGTTAGATATAAAATATATATTATATTAGCGCTGAATTTTTATAATTAAAGACACCAATATAATAGGAATAATTTAAAGAGCATAATTATGTATAGATTGAGATAATTATTGTCAAAATCAAACTAATTTAAATTAAATCACTTTGTTAATTTCATTTTTTATTCGAAAATTACCTTTTCATATATGTATTAAACGGATGTCATAAAATTTCTAATATAATCGACTCCACACAGCGCGAACGCAATTAAATTCAAATTCCAAAAACAAACAAACTATTTACCAACTTAATTTAAAAAAAAATAAAATTAAAAAAAAAATAGATAGGGAGAGAAAAAAATTCATTGAATAAAATGGTCAGAATCTGGTTTGTTGACCCGTACCTATAATAAGAGATAATGTGTAAAACAATAACAAAAGAAAATCCCGTCATTCTTATATCCCATAATAATAGCGACTTCTTTGTGTGCTTAGGGCAATTCTTCAATGGTTTTTCACGTATATCAACAGCACAGCAACAACACAGTAACAGCAACAACAACAAAAAGAACAAATTCAATAAAAACAAGAGCCAAAAGAAAGTACATAATAAACAAAAAAAATATATAGAAAAACTAGCCAGTGCTGCAGTCAACCGGGAATATTTAAATACAGTTGAGAATGTGAATAATAGATAAATGGATGCCAATTTGTGTGTATTTCTATTGTTTTTGTTTTTGTACGCTTCGTTTAGTTGGTAAGTTTTGTAGTTGTTGTTTTTATTGTTTTTGTTTAAAATTCTCAAGGTTTTGAACAGTGCCTGAACATTGTTTTAGTATTTTCTCTGCTTATTCAAAAAAACTTACTTATGCAAAGCACGAAGCCGAAATTTTGTTAATAGAAATTAAAATAATGCAATAATAATAAGTGATAATAATACCTTTTAAATTTCACCTCAAATTAATTTGTTGATTTTACATTTAAAATGAACTTTAAAGGGAATTTAATTCAAGAACAGCACAACTCTTAATACATTTCTATACATATTTTATTTCAAATAAATACTTTGCACAATACACTTTAAATTGAATTATTTTTGAATTGGAATTTATATATAGACTCTACGCACTTTTTTAAAAATCAAATCTGACATTGAATTAGTTATTTCCAATAAAAATATTTATAAATCTATAAATTTTCGCAAAATATTCATTGCGATTCATTGATTTTATTTTGAACTTTTTTGTTGTTATATTTTACGTTTTATCAGAAGCGCAGTTTAAATTAGTATTATAGAAACATTGTTTGTTTATTGAATATAATTTAAGTAATTAATAAACATATGTTATTTATTTTAAAATTATTATCCTGTACTACAAATACAAGCACTTTTTTCAACAAAATACTCTTTTTGCACAAATCTCGCGAGCCGTAAACGACACAACCGCTCAGACACAAAGTATGCGACACAATGAATTATGGCATTGAAATGAAAAACATACGTTTTGTAATAACACCTCTGTGTTGGTAAGTGAAACGAAGAGAAAATGAAACAGATAAAATGGGATAACGGATAAATGTACAATTAAATTTAAATGCAATTTTAAACGTTAAATATAATTATTTTAACCGTTTTTCTTTAAATTTAAACGATGTTAATTTATATATATATATTTTTATTTAACAATATATGTTAATTGAATCGCTTTAAATTATAGCCTAACAATAAGTTTTAGAATCTTAAAGACTAATAACATAGCATTACAAATTATTTTATTAAAACATACTATAACGAATTATAGAAAATTATTTCAAGAGGCCTCTTATTTCAAGAGGGCTTATTTACCAGATATCATGGCGCCTAAGTTGAATTAAACAGAATGGTGTTCAGGACAGCTGGATGGCAAGTCTATCATTCTGTTTCAGTCTAATGGAATATGTCATATTAGCAAGAGGTCTAGCCAGCGGATACATATGGTTTTTAAGATTTAAAATATGTTTCTGCCTTATTCTCTCGAACTCTCCTTTAACCATCGGAATTTCTAAATTGAAATGTTTGTTTTCATTTCTGATAAACCAGGGTACACCAGTTATCATTCTTAGAATCTTTGATTAAGCTCTTTGTAGGATTTCTACGTTTGACGAGCAGGCATTGCCATATAGTAGTAAGCCACACATGCAGATGGTCTTAATGATTTGGTTATATAACAAGACTTTACACTCTAAATATAGAGGAGACTTATGCCCGATTAGCCAGCGAAGGCTTATAGTCTTGAGCTTCATTGGAATCCTTTTTAGTTCCATCAAGCTAAGCGTTTGTCAAGGTTATTACCAAAGAATGTTCCATTGAGAGTGATAGTTGGTGAGGAAGATCAGTTAAGAAAGAATGTTATATGACGACATTTTTGCTTATTGACTTTAATTCGCCATAGTGACAGTCATCTTTCCACGAAGCACAAATGATTTTGTAGTTGATTGGAAGAGATTGTAGCTGTATCGTCAGCAAATGTTGATGTTACTAAATTGGTGTTTCTGGGGATATCCAAAGTAAAGATGAGGTGCAAGAATGGACCAAGAACGCTGCCTTGTGGAACACCTTGTACTTTACACTGAAAGATCTGTCTACCAAATAAGATTCAAGTACTGCGTGTGAGTTTTGCGGGAGTATTTGTCGTATTTTGTGCATCATACCCTTATGCCATACTTTATCCAGAACACTTGTGCAACACCAGCGACACCACAGCAATGTTTATAATATATATTATATATATAATATATATATTATATATTACTGTACTGGTAAAACTACATTGTTTTTTTTATGGTTACCAAATAAATGAATTTGAATTGATAAATTAATAAAACTAAATTTAATATTATAACCGTATTTTTATTTTTATCTAAAACAACTATGAACATATGCATTTGTTTCTGTGTCCCTCCAATCTGTATAGTGATTTGTATTGGCCCGCGATCGCATCTGGTCTAGACTATTGTTCTTAACGTTACATTAATATGTGCCATTTTTCATACAAAATCCATATAAAAATAAGCTAAAAGGGACCGATAAGTTTAAGTGTGTACGTAATATAATATTAACTTAATCTTTTCCATTTTTTAACACAGTATATAAATAACAATTGTTCTAAGTTTCACATATTGTAATATATCATACCTTTAATGGTTCGTCGAAAAATCTGTCGGAAAGAAATGCATATATTAAGACCGTTCGTTTAAACATAGTATATATATTAAGATCCTTTGAGAGTTGCTCAAATTTTAAACTTCTGCTAGAGACATTGTTCTTGTGGTTATTGTAACCAAATGGAGATCTTAAGGCAAGCACACAAAAGGAATCTACTGTTCTTGTCATGTTCATCATATTGACTTACATAGACTTCTACTATTTAATAATTAAAAATATTTAATAAATATTTTTTATTTAGGTTGGTGTAAATATTGAATATATTTTCTGTTTAGTTATATGCCAGTTTGTTAGTTCAACAAACTTAATGTGTTAGACGCAATTAATCGACTTAAACCCATTCAGAGTACAAATCATATAATCGTATTTTGTGATTCTAATTAACCACATAAGAAAAATTTATTTCATTAGTGATAAAAATACTGGTATTTTTAATATAAAGAAAAAACTTAGATTTATTTTATTTTTAATATTCCAAACTGAACTCATATTGTTTTAATTTCAGATTTCTTAATCTCATAGAGAGTTTGATAGTCGCAAAGATAAAAACAAAAATAGCTTATAACAACTTATAAGCATTTTTCATAATTAATAAATTCAAATATTTAATATAATAAGTATAAAATAAAAGGTTTCATAATTTTTTAATTTTGAAATTTTTTTTAAAAATTGATTAAAGCTTAACGAAACTAATAAAGCAATTGTAACAAAATCTTATAATTATAATATTATTAATAAAGGATTTAAAGTTAACAAAAAAATATAAATAAACAAATTGATAATTTACGAATGCATTTGCTTTTTAGGCTGATATTTATATTTCTTAATTGGCGAAATCTCACTATCCGCACTGGATTGTTCAGATTTTGGTTTAGCTTTAATTTTTGCTGTTTTCTCAGCTGATGGACAAATATCTCTATTTAAACAATTAGCACAATTAGGACGAACTGGTGTGCAAACCGTTTGTCCAAAACCAACCAATAAATGATTCACTTCTTGCCACAAATCACGTGGTAGCCATGATTCTAATAACAAACGGGTTTGTTCTGGCTGTTTTGTTTCATTTTGTACCCAACGCAAGCGGTTTGAAATGCGATGAACATGTACATCAACTCCAATGCCTGTTACTTGTTGCCAAGCAGTAGCCATGCAAATATGTGCCATTTTTGGTCCCACACCAGGTAACGCAACCAAGTCCTTAATGTTGTTTGGTATGTCAGAATCATACTTGTCAATAAGTATACGTGCAGTTTGTTGTAAATACTTGGATTTATTCTAGAATTTAAGAGAAGCATTAAATAAATATTAAAAAATCAAAATGAATAAATAAGTACTTTGTAAAATGAAACTGGATGCACTAATTGTTCCAACTTAGTAGTTTCCATTGCTACAATCGATTCCGGAGTCAGACCATTATTTTTTAAACGTTGCATAGCATCAAATGTAGTCTCATCTTTAGTTTGACTGGAAAGCATCAACGCAACAAGTTTTTGAAAACGTTGTGTCTATAAGAGGATTAAAATTAATTTTAGTGATTTAATTTAATGCTTTTTAAAGACTAACAGTTATTTTTGGTATACGATGATACCATATATGTTATTTATTCTTAAATCGATAGAACGGCTTACATTAGTATTACCGAATCAATTGATTAATTCTTTCCTTTGTATAAATCTTCGGTCAACGATCTTTTACAGAAAGGAAAGTTCTAGATCAATGAATCTTAAATAAATCGAACTTACAATGGATCTTTAATTAATTGCATTGATTGTTTACATTTAAATTTTTTTACTTAAAAAAATAATAACAGCTTTAACTGCATATAAAGTCTTCTAATAATTACCTTTTCATCTGCATCATCATCTGAACACTTATGGCATCCCATAGTATCAACAGGTGCTGATGCCACATTGCGCATTTTACGTATATTGTCCAAGCATAATTCCCAATTATCAGGTTCCCACGCTAGCTTAACAGTTTCACGTACTTTAGAAACGTTTTCCAATCCTTGTTCTATATTCGATTTCATCTTTGACTCCGACTTTAGTTCAGTTTTTGGTTTTGACTTTTGAGTAACCAATTTTGTTTCCACCTTTTGTGCAGACTTTATTTCATTATTTGTTTTCGACTTTGATTTTACCTTTGGTTCTAAATTTGTCTCCTCCTTTGGTTGTGTTTTCTTTGTTTGATTATTTTGACGTTGACGTCGAGTTTGTAAAGGTGAAAAATATAGAGACTTCGTTGAGGTTGTAGCAAAATCCTCTATGTCCTTTCATTGAACACAAGTAATAATTTTTAATAAATATCAACAAACGAATTTATTTTTACTTACTACAACATCATTAATTGTGGTTTCATTCTGTTTTTTCAAGTTCTTTGATAAAGTGTCTTTTATCAAATTTTTCTTACTCATTTTTCTAAATGTAATTGTTAAATATTTTAACATAAATTGCTGGGATGTGCATTAACAAAAGATTTAAAAGTGTATGAAATTTCTTTGTGGCGGCACTAAACATATGATTATGGAACTTAAACGTGATGAGAAACCAGGTATGTTATGTAGAATTCAATAGACAAATTTCAAAATTTGTCAAAATGTCAAAATTTTAAAACATATTAAAATTTAAAAATTCAAATTTATGTGTTCAATTTATTTGTACAAAATAAATATAACAAAACAATTTGTATGTAATATTAAAAATTATATTTAAATATTTAGTAGTATAATTCCAGAAAACAATTACAGGTATTTACTGAATACCGAGTAAGGTAAACGATCCTATTTCCTTAACAATGACCCACTCTATGGTATAGATCGTTAGGTAAAATAACAACAGAAATCTAGATGTACCTAATTTTTCTATTAATCTGTTTCAATATAACAACTTGTAGATTTATACTTCTTGATTTTATACTTCTTGATCCATCGTCCCACTGCGCATACAAAAATACAACTGAATTTGTATCGGTGTCACTATCTCAAAGTTGTTATACCATATGATTATATTTAATTTCTTAATCCCCTTTCAACCCTTTTCCATCTACATTACTTTTTGCCAATCTATTCTATTAATCCTCATTTAATACTATTAATACCAGACTGACATGAAAAGTATAAAAAAAATAAATAATTCAAAGATTTAACCACGAAGCTAAATGTTATGTATTATCAAAGGGGTCAGTTCCAGATCTATGATCCAATTGCTTTTGCTTCGTAATGCTTTTATTACAGTTATAACTAAAATTATTTATAGAGAGGTTTGGAACAGTACTGAATTGCAACAAAAAATTTTTATTAAGTTTTGATTAATTAAATTTTTGTCTGACCATAAAGAATCTTTGAATTATTTCTTATATTTAATTGTTCGTAAATAATTTTTTGAGACTGCAAGTACCAAGGGTTTAACTCTTATCCTGCAAAATTGGAAAATGTTCATTAGCCAATTGACCCAAAGCCGTTGTTGACTTGTATATTGGAACTTGGAGTTTTGTTAATTTGTTCTGAAAGTTCATTGACAAATTCACTTGTTGTGTTATATTAAAACAAAATCATAAACCACCTGTAGAATAATAATAATAGTTATTTTTAATTGTTAAATTTCAATACTATTTTTTTGTAGAGGCATTATATATGATATATATTTATTATCTTGTGTATATTATAGAACCCAATCTAAAAATGTGATGCGGAGAAAGTCATGTTAATGTTACTCTACGATTCTTACAAGCAAGACTGGAAATTTAATATATTTTCTGATTTATGCTTCTATTATAATTCTATATTAAATTTGATATTATATTATTTGATTTAATAAGATCTATTAAGCAAATTAGTCTCTACTTTCATAACAGACGTTAAAATCAAATTTAATATAAAATTACTTATTCAATTTCGTTCTTCGTTAAACCTTTGATATAGCAGAAAAAGAAACATGGAATACTAAAAACCTCTGTTAACATTTAAATATATATGAACATATATAAATGAATGTATATGTATATATATTTGTATCTTTATTATTATTCACATCAAAGTCAAATTCTTTTTATAATTAAAAAGTTTACACAAAAATCTGTTAATACAATAAATAGATATTCCATAAACATGTACTGATACTCAACATTTTTTCACTTAAAAACTAAAATTGCACACTAAAATGCAACGACCAGATTGATAACAAATTTCAAATATACTTTTTATCTCAATTACGAAAATACATATAAAAAAAAAATAATTTGTTAACAAATGAATAATCAACAATTTCAAAATTGTAAACTTAAAAATACAGTCAAGTCAAATCGGTGCCCATAGGCCCTTCAAAAAATCTCTTAACAATACACAAAATTAACGATTATGTTTATAAAAATATTGCACTAACTATACAGTAATCATAATTCAATATTTGATATTAAACATCATTTATTGTCTCGGAAGACGAAAAAATATAAATATGTATATATGTATATATATATGAATATGTCTATATGTTTGTAAAATATAGTAACTACGTACATCTATGCTGTTTGGATTTTGTCTGGTTTCAATACATCGGAATGTTGTACCTTACATTCATTAGATTCATAAACAAAAACAAAAGAAAAACATTTGAATTTATTTTCCGTAACTGGAAACTGATTGAGAATCGTGGGATACATCTTTTGAATCATCAGATACTTCTTCTTGCATGCGTCTCTTTGCGGCCCATTCCACAATGCAGAAGCAAATTGTACCAATTGTGCCAAATATCACCAAAATACCAAGTTGAGCTCGTAGTCCGAGATGGGATGAGTAAAAGAAGCTGACTGCAGCTGCCACTGACTAAAATTATAAAATAACGGTTCAATAATAAAATAATATAATTATTTTAATTTTTTTTCCAACCTGTGTAAACTTAAAGAGCGCAAATGCACCGACGGAATTCTTAACAAAAACGCCACCCAACATTGAATATATTTGCGTGTTAAAGCAAGCATCGCCCAAACCCAATAAAAATGCACATATCAACGCAATCCAGGGACGTGGTGGGTCCAAATAAGAAATATCGTTTGTGTCCGTAAAAGGTGCAGAATTTGGTAGGTTCAAGAAAATCAAAAAGAAAGCAATAAGGTGCACAATATAGCCAGCAATTACAATTGGATCTCGTCCAAAACGTGTTGTTTTTGGTCCCAAAATGCCGAAAAGTCCACCACCAAACACTTCACCAGCACCAATACAAATACCGGCTAGACCCAAAATTTGCTTAGGAGATTCAGAAATTTTTTTTGTGAAGCCTATGGAAGGACCATATACGCCACTGAAGAATGATAATTCCAAGCCTAACAAAAAATAAAAAATAAATATTATTAATAAAATTTATATAGAAAATTATATTTTAAATTAATATGTTACTTTATTAATTATCTAACCTGTGTATAAGAATGCTAAACTGAGCAGTAGCATATCCCGGGTCATAAATAGATTTGCTGCTGATTTTAATGCAAAAACAGCATTTGCGAGTCCTGTCTGTCTTTGTTGCATTTCAGTATCGGGAGAGGAATTATCTGCTACTGGACGCAAACTGGCTAAAAATACTATGCCAAGTATGGCGACGCCGATTAATACGCTTATTACTAATTTACGTGTATCGGCATCAATGTGATCTTTATCCTGGAATTGAAAGTACACAAATAAGTTTCCGAAAAACATACTGCACTGCAACAAAGCCCAAAAGACGCCAGAGTTACGCGAAATATTTGCAGGATTACTGCAACGCGCTAAAAATGTGCCTTGACCAGTCCATGTAATGGAAGCACCAGCACCAAGTATTGCACTAGCAAAGTACAGTAACCAGGTGGATGGAAATAGGAAAATCACCATAAAAAGTCTGCAATTATTAAACAAAATAAAATTTATTATACAATAATTTTTGTCACAGATAACGTTAGACCTACGTGTATGTCAAAGCACCCAACAACATAGCAGTTCTGGGTCCAGTGAATGATATGAACGATGGCGCTAACCAATTGCATAAAGCAAATGAAGCATATATGACCGCCAAGCTTGTGTAACCATCTCCTTTGAAATTCTCATCATCATTAGCTATGCTGTCCAGTATTGTTTTCTGTAATCCAAAGAGTTTGCGATTAGTAATTATAAGCATACATAGTTACTATATTCAAAATTTCATGAAAATTAAGAGAAAAAAATTTTTTAGGGCCTTAAGTAATTAGACAAGAGCAATAAAAAATCATTCTATGAATACTACATCACATTGTAAAACAAAATCATGGAATCCATAATGAATGAATTAAAAAATTCCTAAACAAATTCACTCTTTGCCTTCGAATAATACTAAGGAATACCTTATAAACATATGACTAAACCCCATTAGTTACCCGGACTTTTAGAATGTTACATTTAAACAATTTTTTTCTTCTACTTTATTTCACTGATACCAAATGTAGTATAAGACTTTCACGACTCGTTTAAATACATTTCTGTCGGAAGCTGTATGGTCGATAGTGTTTTTCAGGGTTTCTCTATTGACAGTTCTTGAGCAGCTACCGGGCTGCGCCATTATGACCACCGGTTCGTAAAGAATTGTAATTTCACCTTCAACAATATTATTTGTTGGAAAGATTTTGTTACCGGTGGCTGCAAAAAATATTGTGGTCCGAATAATTGTACAGAAAGTCTAGAGTAATTTAACGTAGTTACCTGTTTCACCACGTTTGGATATGGTTTTCTCCATGGTGGGGTGCGAAGTTTATCTTCGCTAATCTTTGGGCCACAGCATTCGATTGGAAATGCAACTTCACACAACCAATAACAGTAAATGAATACAATCGTTGTATGGGTTTTAACTACAAATATCACGACATTCTGTTTAAATAGTCAGGACAGACAAAACCGTGGGTTCTGACTCCATGATACCACACTAATACCTCTTCGGTAAAGTAGTGCAATTAAAATTCAGTACCAAACAGTATTAGGATGGTGCCCGTTATCGGACGAAAACAAATCGATAAATTGCAAAACAAAAGAGTAAACAACGTAAAAAAACATGGGTTAAGCTATGGACATAGTCCATAGGTTTCTAACGTGATTACCTACCGTTAAGGCTTAACGTACGTATCCGTATAAAGCGACGATAAATGCTCCCATTGAAATTCCAAGAAAATTCGTCAGAAGCAATTGAAGTTACGTTTGGAATAGTTTCTTTCTTGCCAAGAAAGGAAACTTCCATTCGATGTGGAACTGCATTTTTCATCCCGTTGGAAAAATGCAGTTCCACATCGAATGGAAGTTATAAATACATTCTACCCGCGTAACTTTGGGTATCAATTACAGCCACCACTATAATTTAAAAAAGGGACCAATCTCAATTGGACAAAGCAACCAAAGCTATAGTCTTTAACCCCAGTGGTAGCAAATTTACACTTCCGTTCGCACGCACTCACTATCATTTATGCTCCAAATAATATTGAGTGCTATCTACTGTATTTTAGTCACTTCTTACGACAGGCTTGCCTTAGTACGTTAAGATTCTAATCGAAGAAGGAGAGGGATGACTATGATCAAGATAGATAGAGAATAATAGATAATAATAATAGATAATATAACAGTATTTAATACTCGAAGCACTTGGTTTCAGCGAATTTATATGGAGGCAACTATAAGTGGCTATAATCCACGTCCTAATTAGACAATGATGTGGTTGCTCATTAAATGATTTTTTATTAGTGCATTTCGTAAACAGTATATATAAATTTGGTACTTGCAACAGATAACAGTTGTGTTTATTATATATATAATCAGTTTGGCACATTGTACAAGGTATTCTATAATTTGAATTCAGCAATATGTAATGATTACTTGAGACACGTAGTCAGAGGAGGCTGATGGGACTTGAGGGACTGAAAACCCCTGAAATCGATGTATGTACTATATTCATACTTGTGTATATATACACAATTAATATATTCATTTGTATTTATAATTGGTTCATGACTCTATGAGATAAAAATTTATTTTTAATTACTGAAATGATCGGACTAGATGAGATAGTCTATGAGTTAATTCCAAAATATTATTTATAAATATTATAAAATTGATGGTCTGCTTTTAGGATCCGATTTTTCTATTTTCATATGTGTTATTTTAAGAGAAAATTTTCCGAAATCAAAATCAAGCTCAACTTAAGAGAATTTTTGATAAAACTGAATTAATGGTCTCTGCTATGCATGCTAATGACCGTTGATGATTTGCTGCTGTTTTGAGTTCATTTTGAAGTGCATGCACTCAACTTCCTCATTTATTTCAGCTTAAAAATCAATTTGAATATTAATGAGTGGCTAAATATAGAATCAAATCAATTTACATAGGGAAATATGTAATAATATTTACATACTTATATACTAAAATAACTCATATTTATGTGTATAGACAAAATTAATTTTATAATAAATATAAATCAATCTAAATCGTAATTGAAGTAATTTAAATCCACGTGATTTTATGAATGTAAACAAAAATTAATTAGTTCCATTAATTCAAGAAGTAATCGTAGACACTAATAAATAACAAAATAAAATTATAAAAATATATGTATATTTTTTAACCTCAAAGTGTAATTTTTTCTTTTCCGATATATTACATATCTAAATGCATATTACTATTGCTCATTAATATGAAGACTAAATGGCACCTTTCCAACATATTATCGCTTCCGTGCAATCGAAAATAATCTATTGTACTATTGTTTCTTCTTATTGATACTCAGTATAATGTCAGAGTTATCTTTAAAAATGAAAGTATTATCTAGAGAGTAAAGAGATAGAGAGAGAGATAGATTCATGAACACTGATTTTGATTCATAATAGATTCAGAGCATAGTTAAAAAGTGGGGGGCTAACAGTTTATTTTTGAGAAACCTGTTTTTCTAAGTACTACTTTTCTAAGTATCGGTTTCTTGTAGTTATCTGATCTATGATAATCTGTTATTTCTTTAGCTAGTTTTGCTTCAACACTACCTAAAGAAAGTGGCTGGAAAGAGCAGCTGAGACTGATTGGGATAATACAATTGCCTGCAGACAAACCAAAGAATCCATGCCGTTTCGGGCACTGCGGAGTTAAAAAGCATCTATCGAATCTAGGTATTACTAGAGACGATAGCTGCAGACTTTGTTGCGAAGAAGAAGACTTTCTAGACTCAGACTTCGGTACTTATCCACTGCCTATCCGGATATAACGGAACTAGGGAACATCTCCCCAAAGGACATATTGGCATACTTAACTGCTACTCGTCTATGGAACTGAAGTAGGCATGTCACAATAATCCTCAAAGGATGCAATGACGCGGTGACAAGTTCTCAACCCATTTTAAAAATCTATGCTTCAACACATTTTTGAACTTACTGATTAAAACATAAAAATAAAAAGATAGGAAAGTTAAAGTTACTAATCATATTAGAGAAAATCGTAGTTCGGAAAGTAAAAAGTAAATTGAAGAGTTCTATTTTGGTATTATAAATTTATTTTCTAATTATTATTTGTATAGAATAAACTAAATATTATTTGATTTTAACTACTGGCGAATATTATAAATGATAATAATAAATAGCAGATTGTTAGATCTTTGGTCCTCTACGAGTTGGCGACGACTACCACATTAGAATGAACCACGAGCTGTACGAGCGTTAGGCGTAGAGGTAGACCGTGTCTCCGGTGGAGTGATCAAGTTGATGGAGCACTAACTGGACTTGATATACGAGACTGAGAAGGCGCGCACGCAGCAGAGGCGCCTGGGGAGACATGCTGCGTCAGGCCGAAACTCGGAAACGGTTTGTTATGACCAAATAAGTAAGTAAGTAATAAATAGCAACTGGTGACGGTTACAGCCTATGCAGTTCCTCTCTTATTAAGCAAATTTGTTTAATTCGCCTACCTTATCAATGGTCCAACTGTGATAGTAATTGTTAAGAGTACTTGGTCTTTAATAACGATGGGGTCAAATACATAAACTCGACAGCTTTTGAAATGCTAACACCTGGTAAAACACTTCACTAGATCAATATTACGCACAGTCATTGCTAAATAGGTTTAGAGATATTTATTTATAACATTACAAAGATATATATATTGATATTCAGATGTCTGAGTTGGTGAACCAGCACCATTACTCTATTTTATCTGTGGACAGTTTTAAGTCACACTAAGAATAACTGAATACGGGGCTTTATAATATGATGGATCTGATGTCCTTGTTTCTGCTTGTATTTATCAAATTTCGTTGTATTTTTAGGATGCTGAGAGTTGGATTATTGTGACTGTCAATTATATTGAACAGTTTCAGAGCACGATCTTTAATGTATTTTTCGACTGAATCGACTCTCAGATCTCTGTGGATATCCGCTCCTCTTACGTACCATGGGGCGTTAACCAGTTTTTTTAAGGCAATATTTTGCCCTCTTTGAAGAATTTTTAAAGTTGAGTTTGGCGCTTGACAAAACGCAATACTGCCATAAAGTAGTCCAGGTTTAATAATCTGCTTAAATATGCTAACTCTATTCTTTATGTTTAGCTTTTTGCTGCTAATGAGCGGGTGGATGGAGTGTAATATTCGGGCAGCTTGAGCTCGCTTGGACTTGAAATGTGCTTTCCAGGAGTACTTGTTATCAAAGGTTATGCCTAGGTATTTGAGAGTATCGGCCCATTCTATTTCTTGTTCTTCTACCTTTAATTTTCTGGGTGCTTGGCGGCGCTTCCTGGTAATGAAAATATAATATAATATAAGTATATAATACTTATATTAAATTTGATATAGTGTAAAAACCACTTAGCAAAGTTATTTACCAGAAAATATACCACAAAAAATCTACTAATTGAGGTAATAAAGTACATCATGTCACAATACCGAATAACTCCTGGTTTTTTGAAAATACTCTAAGTATTTCTGCTTTTCCATATTAAGGGTTAAAAAATGATCAGTATAATAAAACATGATTTAAAAAAAATTTATGTAAATTATATATGTATAATGCATCCATTTTACATATCTCAACGTATAGGTGATTAAACATTTATTACCATCGTTTACTGTCAATTAAAATACTTTAAAGT